AGGAATTCAGACACTTAGACTGCAGATAAACTAGCGTTACAGTGTCATCCTAGAGGAACTTGCTTCTGGGAAGGATCTGTCCAGAAGAGGCACATCCTGCTAATAAGCATGCATGTTGGCATGTTAGTAACGTGCAGTAATGTTTGGGTGCCTTTATATGGATATAAATTTTGTTTTGACAACAGTAAAGTGCTTATTCCTGCCTTGACAGGAATATTAGCTAATATTGTGATATGAATTTAACATTATTTTCAACTATACCTCTTCCTTGCAACAAAAATACAAGTTGCTTTGTTAACATTCAGATTTTACAGAACAAATGTCTACTGGGAACAGGAAATTTTTCCCATTCAGGGCAGTCTAGAAAATGTGTCAAGTACATATCTCTCAAAGCAATAATCTACACAGCTGGGCCTTGGAAAATTACTTCATTTTAAGCCTAGAATACAAACTGTTCAACCACAAACTATTACAACATCAATCCCATTCTGTCCCCCGACCTAATGTATAAAACCACTAAGAGTGCAATCTACCTGTTGTGTCAAGCCTTTGAAGAGAGCTCTGGTAACGTTAATCAAGTTTTTGGATCCAGAAATCTTGGCGTACATGTCTTTAATGCCAATCAGTTTGCAGATGGTGATGATAGCTCGGTGGCAACGAAGACCATAGCCTGGGGAAAAAAAAATAAATTAAATTAGCATTATGTGATTATTTGTAAGCAACTTAGCTAAGGAAGAAGAGAGAATCAAGACCTCCTCTTAGTTATTTTTGTTCGCTAGCATGTTAGAACACATTATACCTTAAAAATGACAAAACCATTCAGGAAGACCATTCTTCCCAGTCTTTCCAATCATGCTAACATAAACATGATGGGGTTTTTTAATACGAAATATACCTTACTTAACATACTGCAAAATCAAATGAAAATGTTACCACCTGTAAACTCAAAACATAAACCCATAAAAAATGCAACCTGAAGAATCGTTTAATACCACAGGTTTGGGTAGTATTCCTTGGAAGTACCACTGACAGCTTTAGAAGAATCTTCCACAAACATACCCCACCCCCCTGGGAACATTCACCAAACAAAAGGCCATTTCTTTCTCCCACTCAGCAGAAAAATAACCCTGTAGTACCTCCCAAAACTAAAAATAGTAATAATAAAAAACTAGCAGAGAAGCAAGGCAACAAGTTGCCTTAAAAGAGTATTAAAAAGAAGCCATTACAATGGAGAGGGTCTAAATGTAACTGGATCCCGACCAAGCCTCCTTCTTCTAAAAAGCAATCCTACACAGCTTCAAAACCACTTCCTTTGCCACTTCAGGTGACCAACTGCTGAATGACAGCTTCAGTAACTCCTAATGATGGTAAATCTGACTAAAGTCCTGGTTCACATACACAATGGAGGGATTTAAACTGGTCTCCTATGGTGAAGGTGCTGCTCAAAACAACTGGTATGCTCAAGCACTGCTGTCCTTTGGGCTTCCCCCCAGAAGGACCCTGCAGCAGAAGCAATGTCAGTGTCCTCTGTTCCCAGGGAGATTGCTGCTGGATGAGAGGCCTCCAGGGCCTTCCTACAGCCTGAGATCGTGCTCAAGACCTCCACCAGACACAGCACAGGCAGAGAAATTGGGGAGGGAAGGAAAAGGCAAGTCTGTGGGCAATAATCTTAGAATGGTTTGGTTGGAAGGGAACTTAAAGACCATCTTGTTCCAACCACCCTGCCCTGGGCAGGGACACCTCCCACCAGATCAGGCTGCTCAAAGCCTCATCCAGCCTGACCTTGAACACTCCCAGGGATGGGGCAGCCACAGCTTCTCTGGGCAACCTCTGCCACTGCCTCACCACCCTCACCGGGAAGAATTTCTTCCTGATATCTATTTGCTGCTAGGAGTTTAGGGTGGCCCTTTCCAACCCAGATGAAATTGCAAGTGAGTTTATCCAGGATCCACGAGTGTGTGCACGCTAGTGAACCTGGGGAGGACTGTGTGTGCCCGCACTACTGATCTTCTGCCTCTGCTAGCCAAAGAGGAGGAGGGGACTTGCCCGTCTGTGTTTATGTTTATGTGAGTCCTGTCTGTAGGTGCTGTTGAAGGCAGCCCCTTGCCTGCAGCCAGCCGTGTCAGCATCCTGTGTGCGTCCGTGTGTCTCTGGGATGCACAGGCAGCTTCACAACGGGCTGAACCTGCACACGGAAAAGCGATGGCCGCATCCCTCAGCCAGGCCCTGGTCCCTGGGCTGGGCTTGAGGGCCCGGGGCTGAAGTGGCCGGAGGAGGAGGCTGTACATCTAACACCACTTAACAGCAACTTTGTGGAAGAATAGACCTGTGAGCTGAGAGCTGCCAGGCATGGACTCACTGCTACCCTCATCTAACCTACAGGAGTCTAAAGAAGCATTTGGCTGTACTACAACTGGAATCAGAGTGAAGAACAGCTTGCAAAGATGCAGAAATGAAAACATTGCTGCTGTGTAAGCACCAGATGGTCTTTGTGCTGGTATGGTGCAGGACAACAAGCCAGAGTAGATGATCTCTCTAGTTTCCACATTGGGAGCTCTCGATTTTAGGAAGATAAAGCAGCAATGGTCTCAAGGAGGCAGCATGCTGGATGCTGTCCTGGCTCCAGCTCACAACCACCGGCAGTCTGAGGGAGGACATCTCCCTATGCTACCCCAGCATGGACTTAGGAGGGGCAGGCATGCAGATGTGGCTTGCACTCTGATTCCCATTTGAAGCATTCCCACTACTGCACACTAAACTAACTCTGATCCCTGCCTTGGAAACAGCAACTAAAAACCACTGAAAAATAATGGAATGAGCCTGTTGGTTCTCCAAAACATGCATGGTGCATACGGTGGGAAGAAAAACCTGCAAGGTTCTTCTAAAGGCCTTTGCCTCCAACATCTGTGCTATTAGATTAGACTTTTCCACATTCAGGTAACTTAGAGCCAAAGGAACTACACTTCGGAAGCATAAAAGAAAACCACAAATAGCACTCCCACCCATATAAGGGGGACAAACTCCGATTTAAAATAACAAAGCCATGTCATCAACAGCAGGTGTTTCTAATGAAAAATAATTGATCATCGTCAACATTTAAAACATGGTAGGCTAGCACCAAATGATCTGTCTCTGAAGTAAACAGACATTGCACAAATTTAATTTCATCAAATAAATACCAGTCAGTAATTAATAAAGCTTCAAAATTTCCAGGTGGCTTTAATTACCTTTGTTTTGCTTCTTCATGCGGATGCTTGTGCTTTTAAATCTCACTGTAATGTCATGGTAAACTGGAGGGGAGAAAGGAAAAAAAAAAAGGCATTACAGCTAAATTCTCCTTTGTAGAAAAGCTTTAGCTCAGCACATTTAGGGAGTACGTTTCTGTTTCAGAACTGTGAACAGAGAGTTGGTTTTACTCTCCTCTGAGTTCTTTAAAGAGAAGGGTTAACCTAGGTCAGTTCCCAGAACAGATCAGGAATGTTTACACATCTGTAAATACTATGTTACCACTGTACACAAAACCAAGCTTCACTTGAAAAATACGAAGTGTCTGTATGCCGCCAATGAGCCTCATTTAGCTTTGAAGTGAGCTCATCTGATACAATTTAACCTTCCTCCTCATACTCAGATTTTTCTAATAATTCAGCTTTCAACCTAACACTTCCCCACAGGCTTCAGCATTCTTGGATTTTGCACACAGAATATTTACCATTACAGTCTTCCCGCTTCTCGCTGCTTCAAAAGGAGCCCCAAACTCCTGTCCTCTGGGGGGTGGCTGTTACATACATCAGACTCAGTGGCTCAGTCTCTGTATAGTGGATTCTAGCACTGCAGTCAAGATGGCTCAGAGAGGACCTCTACGTTAAGTAGAATGGAAAGCACGGTGGAAACACCACCAGTTTTTAATCAAATCCCCAATCTGTTAGTGTGAAATAATAATGCTCAAGGAACAGGAAGATAATTGCAGCTTTGTATTTGTAAGCTGAAGTTTTATTATACTGAATATTTTTCTACATAGTGACTTGGTTAAAGATTCATATACTCTGTAAGCTACATTTCTCTCAACATTTTTCTGAAAGATAACTGAATATTTAGTATACTGATACCACGTCTGACATCCGAGAAGACTTGTATGGTATTAAACTGAATTAACAAAAAGCTACCATGAAACTACCATCAGACTGACTTCTCCAGCCCACATTCTCCCCATCTCTGACATCCAAAGGGGAAAAGCACAGAGGAGTTCACTGTAGGGAAGAGATGCCCAGACAGTATCTGACTTCCTTAACTCAAATTGTGCCAGCAGAGATCTAATCTTGCTACTACCCCCTTCCCCTATCCCCATTTTTAAAGAGCCTGAAATACTATGCATCAGGTATCAAAGTTTTAAACACAGAATCATAGAATGGTTCGGTTGGAAGGGACCTTAAAGCGCATCCAGTTCCAACCCCCTGCATAGACAGGGACCCCTTCCACCAGACCAGGTTGCCCAAAGTCCCATCCAACCTGGCCTTGAACACTTCCAGGGATGAGGTACCCACAGCTTCTCTGGGCAACCTCTGCCACCGCCTCACCACCCTCATCATAAAAAAGTATCTTCTTGTATCTACTCTGAATGTACTCTCTTTTAGTTTAAAATCATTACCCCTTTTCCTATCGCAACAGGCCCTACTAAAAAGTCTATCACCATCTTTCATGGCAAAGGCAGGAGACTAGGAGGGAGAGAAATCTCTCAGTATTTTAACAGCAACATCTCGTATTACGTAATCTTAACTCTTCTTCACAGACCTTCCTACAACTGTTACAAACCTGAGTGAAAGTAAAGAGTAAACCACATATTCATTCCAGGTAATGGTGATTTATTTTACCTGGGGATCGGCAGACTATGTACTCTGACATTACCACTGTCTAGCCACAACAGTCTGGGGCTAACATTTCACACAGCATGCTGAAGAAGCAAAATGCAAGAATAGTAATACAATACATCAGATCACAAAAGGTTTTAGTTCATCTTTTTATGCTTTGTAACTAGTTGCAACCAGTTCTTGTTGGTATATTCAGCATTTATTTAAAGTTAAGAGTTTAAAAAAATCGTAATACTTACTTGTGTGGTTCTGATACAGGTCTATAAGATGTAAGCAGCGTATTGCTTTATTCTTTGCCTAGGGAATAAAAAAAAACATTTTTTCTTGAATTTTTCTGCAAAGTATTTGAAATTTACCACTGTTCAGTTAACTAGACAGAAAGTTAAAGAACTGCTTTCTCCTAACAGATTTAATATTTAAAGATTTCTCAATATAGTAACAACTTGATAAACTTTGTGTATTTTAGCATTGTTACTCTGACAGTTTAGTTGAGCATTACAACATAAACTAGACTAATGTAGACGGACAAGTAACATTTTGAAGTCTACAGGAGCCTTAATAAGGTCATTAGAGCATTTGCAAAAGAAAAATTCCTACACACTAACTGTATCAGCAGATTGCATGCTACACAGATACTGCAACGAGCGACCAAGGGGGATAAGTATACACCACAGAAAAGGGAGTAGAAAGAAAATGAAGAGTGCATTAACAGAATCTCATTGCAGGGCAACCTCATTATGTGAGTCCAGAGAAGGGCAACAAAGGTGGTGAGGGGTCTGGAGCACAAGTCTGATGGGGAGCGGCCAAGGGAGCTGGGGGAGTTTGGTCTGGAGAAGAGGAGGCTGAGGGGAGACCTGATGGCTCTCTACACCAACCTGAAAGGAGGGGGTAGCCAGGTGGGGGTCGGCCCCTTCTCCCAAGTAACGAGCAATAGGATGAGAGGGAACAGCCTCAAGTTGCACCAGGGGAGGTTTAGATTGGACATTAGGAAGAATTTCTTCCCCAAAAGGGTTGTCAGGCACTGGAACAGGCTGCCCAGGGAAGTGGTGGAGTCTCCATCCCTGGAGGTATTTAAGAGGCGAGAAGATGTGGTGCTTAGGGACATGGGTTAGTGGTGGCCTTGGCCGTGCTAGGGGTACAGCTGGACTTGATCATCTTAAGGATCTTTTCCAACCTAAACGATTCTATGATTATTTATATCAAGATGGACAATCATGTACACGGACTTGCTACTTTGCATAACTACAAAAGACACTGATTATTAAACAAAAAGTGTAGGTATGAATTATTTGTGCTTGTCATCAAGCAACAAATAAATCAATCAACATACTTTCCGTAAAGCATTCATCCTGTCACCTGCTTTCCCCATTGCAAAACCTGCAAGACAGAAAAGAGTCATTTTATTACATTATTATTATTACATTATTATTATTACTGAGAAATAGACAAGGCAGGATCTTCAGAAAGCAAAACGGAAAAAACAGAGAACTTCACAATCACATTTAGTATTTGTTACTTCCACTCCATTGCACAGATCATACTCAGAAAATGATCCAGAGAAAGGCACAGAAAGTAACAGTTTAGGAGTTATGAATACCTAACAACTGGATGCCAATTGCTTGCTGCCAAATGAAAACAAGTAAGGCTTAAGTTATTTCTTTTGTGTCCAAACAATTGAATAGTGGTGACGCTGAAGCAAAAAAAAAAAGTTCAGTCTTCTGCTTAAAAAGAAGGGAATGAAAAAAAAAAAAGTGCAAGTTGATGCAGATGTATCAACTACATCTGTACAAAGAGTAGCTCCAAGACCCTAGGATCCTAGAAGATAATAGAAGCCCAGTTTCCTTCTTTGCAAACCAGAGAATATGAAAACCAGGTTTAACAGAATAGTGCATTTGCAAAAAATGCATGCCTGTAGAACAGAGAAAAAACAGACTGCCAGTTACAAACTACTACCTAATTCTCTCTGAACCCTCAGACCTACTCCTGTTTACCAGGGTCAATTGTGGTAGCGATGAAGAGATTTCACAGCAGCCTTGGAGTATCTGCAGTCAGCTCGGAGCAGGGCATCAGCTGACTGTATGGAATGAATAAGAGGATGTGACAACTGTTTTTACAAACTCTGTAGTCCAACAATGTCAAGGTAGATTGAATTAAAATAATTTAACTTGCAATCAGTATATCTAGCTTTTTTGGTCCTTTGATGTTTCTGTTGTGTCAGCTGGGGCTGCGGGTTACCTGTATCGAAAAGCCTAATCCAAAAAAATCAATGGGATGGGACCCAGCCAGATGCTAGCTGAGACTACCAGTAAACAAGCCCTTTTAAATTGAAATCAGTAATATTTCCAAGGGACTATCCTGACACTTAGGGAGAAGAAAAAAAAAAATAATCAGCCAGATTTATACTAATTCTGCCTAGAAATACTAATGCTAGCTAGAAAATAACCCACGAAAACGCACCACCAGTCATGCTGCCCTTTGCTGCAAAGCGGTCACTGCAGTTAGAGCAAATGAAAATAAAACCCCAAGAACCCCAATGACATGGAAGTTATTTTCAAAACCAGAAAGACAAATCCCCGTCCACTGACTCCCCCTCCCTTATGACTATCTGCTCTGCAACCATTCATTTTAGCCAAGCACAGGCACCTCTGGGAAGAGCACACTCAGCTGAGTCCTCTTCCCCCATCAGCGCGGGGGGACGAATACTGCCCCGGCCATGCCAGCCCACCCGCAAGTCCAGGCGCCTTTTGCAGGTGCCCGATTCTTCTCTTTGACTCGAGAGCGAACAACTACACTCTGCAGCTGGGTGCAACACATGCAGATATGCATGGCTGAATACTTCAAGGCTTTGATTTTTTTTTTTTTTTTAAACATAAACAGTATCTGCAGTAGAAAGAAACAGTGTGTACAGGAAAGCATAGATGATCCCTTCTGGTAGGATCTACCAGTGGTTAATTCCATCAACTCTAGAATTAAATAAAAAATGTTTTTACCACTGGGTAATATATGCTCCAAACCTAGTCACATATTACTACTTTTCTCAATTTCTTTTTTCATACAAAGTGTCCACATAAATACATACATAATTTGATTATAAAGCTTACTTTTATAGATAAAAGTAAAAATTCTTACAGGTATTTCAATATTGCCCAGTTGAAAAAAAGGTGGTTTGTTTTGTTTTTTTTTAAAGTATAAAAAGTCCCTCTAAATCACTATGCCTCCCAAAGTCCTATTACAAACAATGATTAATTTGGCATCTATTACAGACAGTAAACGCACATACCTACAGCTCCTTTACCATTTCCAATAGCCACTAATGCACGTATTGATTTTTTTCTGCCTTCCTTTGCCTTCATACAAAACACATTTTTCACCTGAAGAAAAAAAAAACAAAGTATCTTGTTACAGCACAGTTCAATTGTGTGTGGGGGGGTTTTCTGTTGTGTTTTGTTTTGTTTTTTTTTCTTTTTAAACAGAGTCAGTTTACCAAAAAGGAATTAGAAGTCTGTTTTGAAACCTTACAATATATATTGTCTTTTTCAACGGCTTCATTCTGCAGTGGGACACTGGCTTCAAGGCATTAAATAAGTAAAGGCTACTAAAAAATCTATACTCGGACACAGAAGTTGTTACCTCAGTACAGTTTCATTAAAATATCCCTTCTGCTGTGTTTAGCTGCACAACAGATAATGCTTTAATGCTGCCAATGTCATGTGTGATTTCAGTTGTGATGTAAAAAATTGAAAGTGACATTTATATCTCGCTGCTCCCCTCACACTGTAACATATTTTAGGAACACTCTCAGGAATTGCTCAAGGCATATTTTTGCGTTACATGGCTTAAAACTTAGGATCGAAATCTACTTGCAGAGTGCAGAAGACGGTCTCGTTACTGAGATGACAGCTGCTCAAAAGAAAACTTCATTTAAGAGAGGGGAAGAAGAAGATGGTATTTCATTCCTGGAACTAGAAACGTTTACAGAAACTCTGCATGAAAGTCAAGCAGGGATGCAAGAAAGCTATTCAGTTGGAGTGGGGGGACACAACAACAACTGGGGAGACAGGTGGCCTTATGGTTAGCATTCTGGAGATCTAAATCTGCCTCTGCCACAGACTCCCCTGTGTGACCCTAGGCAAGTCACTGCTTTATAGTCTCCCACCTTAAACAGTCCAATATATCACCTGAGATCCTCTGTCCATCTAGCTCCTGTTCTAGTTTCTTTGGTTTTGTTTATATATTACAATATACACTTATATAGACACATATTTTTAGATATAGTTTAATATACTGTATATAATATATAAACTGTACATAAAATATAAAATATAATATATATAAAGTATATATACATATAAAATAACATTGGATATTGCTAAAAAATGTGTCCCAGAATTACCAATCAAAAGATGCAATTTCCTTCATGGTTCATTTCTCCCCTTCCTCTCAAATGCACCAGGGTCTACTTTTTTGAAGCCTCAATATGAGTTCCATAAATTATCATAACAGTTAAATTGAACATGCATTGTTAATACATGAATTAACCAGCACTCTCTCCTTGTCCCTACGTGTAATTCTTCAGTAAGCTAGTCTGGTTGAGCTTTATACATCAAGAAAGTAGATTATTAAAAAAATACTTGGGTGTGGCTTAAACATTCTTACTGAAATTCACACACATACAAAAAAACAAAACCAAAAATTCCACTGGCATCAGGAGGTACATTTTAGCAATGAGTGCTTCTGAAAAATTTCACCTTGCTTTAATTAAAATAAAGGTGCTGCTAAATTCAAGGTGCACATTTATTCTAGAAAGCACTTTGAAGAAATACCAGGTTTGCTAATTGCTTATTCCAAGCTATTTTTCTTTCTGCAATCTTATTGCTTACACGAACACGCTACAAACCCAAGTCCCCCCAAGACGAAAGTGCCTGTGGAAACAGGCTATTTACAGAAAATGCAAAATAACGGTGAAAGAGAGTGAAGCAGAGCGGTACCTCCATGAGCATCATGAACATGCTATTTTTGCTTGGCACACACTTTTGTCTTCCATCGCCAATCTGAGTAAGTACTCGTACAAAAAAAAAGTTGTCATGCGTATTGTCAAAAATAAAGGATGCACTGTTTGCAGAAATCTGCTCGAGAATTACTCTTCCCCCTTTCCGGAGGGTGGCAATAAAGACTCACGCAACGGCCCTCTCCAGAAGCCTTCCCAGAGCTGCACCCCTCGGCTGTCTCCGGAGGAAACCGCCCTCAGTGTCCCCTCAGCCATGGCCATCGCCCCTCTCTGGAAGGGCTGCGGGGGCCTTTCAGCCTCCCCTTCGGCCTCCCCTTGGCCGGGGCTGTGCGCAGGCAG